CACCCACCCTCCCCCGCCTTCACTCAGAAATTCCGCACTCTGTTCCATGCTTCCATGTCTCTAGATCCACTCTGTTCATCTGTTTATTTTGTTACTTAGATTCCACATAGGAGTGAGATCATGTGATACTTGATTTTCTCTGACTGATTTATTTCACTTAGCATGATACTCTCCAGGTCCCTCCATGCTGTCTCAAAGGGTAAGAGATCCTTCTTTTTTTTTACTGCTGCATAGTATTCCATGGTATAAATATATCACAGCTTTTCTCTCCACTCATCTACTTGACCAGAATCGAACCTGGGACCCCTGACGCTCTATCCACTGAGCCAAACCAGTTAGGGCTATACATTTTTTCTGATTGGTGCTTTGGGTTTCTTAGGATATAGTCCTAGAAGTGGGATCACTGGGTCAAATGGCAGTTCCATATTTAATTTTTTGAGGAAACTCCATACTGCTCTCCATAGTGGCTGCACCGGTCTGCAAGGAATGAAAACTTTAAGCCTTACCCCAGATCTATTGGATCAGAAACTCAGGGGTAGGACCCAGGGATCTGTGTTTGAACCTGCCTTCCATGTGATTCTGGTGCATACTAAGTTTGAGAACTACTGTTATAGGAGGATGGAAAGAGAAGCAGACTTACAGCCAAGAGATCTGAGTTCTAGTGTTCACTACAGTGCTCTCGTTTCTTCCCAGGGCCTCAGGCTCTTCACTGTGAAAATAAAGACATAGTCAATGCCTTCTAAAAAAACAGGCAATATAGGTTATCCTGACAAAGGAAAAATACAGATCTATGTAATGAAGCACTTAGGAGCTCTGAGAATAGCTATTAGGTGGGCTGTTAGAGTTGGATAAAAACCCAACTCCCAGACCCTTTCTTGTCACAATTTACCTGCCATTTCCTTTGTTATCTTTCTTCTACCATAATTTGCCTTCTAGAAAGGAAATCACTTGTAGATGTGGCCATTACTTGTAAGAAGTTGCTTGAGATATACCTCACTAAGAATCGTGACACCACACCATTGAGCAACCCAAGAATAACACGTCTTCCCCTCCCGTGCCATGCTCTCCTCTGAAGCAAGCCCCCCTCACCATGGACAGAGCAGCAGGACCCAGAGAGTCCATCCTCAGGGATAGGATGTGAATTCCAGGGCACATTATCAGGCCCAAGACACATTTGATTCCCAGGACAGGACTTTATTTTTACTCTCAGTCTGGCCCTCGGAGGTACTGGCGAAACAATTACGAACAGGTTGCAAAGCTGCTTTATGCAGACGGCCAGAATTCTCTTCATTTGCTCTCCTTTCCCTATGTGTCAATTGCTCTAGATCCGTGGACGGCAAACTGCGAGCCACATGCGACTCTTTGGCCCCTTGAGTGTGGCTCTTCCTAAGCCTTAGGGGTACCCTAATTAAGTTAATAACAATGTACCTACCTATATAGTTTAAGTTTAAAAAATTTGGCTCTCAAAAGACATTTCAATCGTTGTACTGCTGATATTTGTCTCTGTTGACTAACGAGTTTGCCGACCACTGCTCTAGATGAAGAAATTAGATCAATAGTTCCGTGAGAAAGTGGGGAGCACATCAGGGAGTTGTTCAGGTGCTTGACTTCCACCATAGCTGATGCTGCTAAGAGCTGAGAGACTGGAGCCTAAAGCTGCCGGAAGGTGTTAGAGCAGTCTCAGAGGACTAGACTACCATTGCCTTTGCTGGTTCATTCTCCTTGTGCAAAGGGACTCTTTCTTCCCCTAGCCCAGTGGTTCTCAACCTTCTGACCCTTTAAATACAGTTCCTCATGTTGTGACCCAACCATAAAATTATTTTCGTTGCTACTTCATAACTGTAATGTTGCTACTGTCATTAATGGTAATGTAAATATCTGATATGCAGGATGGTCTTAGGTGACCCCCGTGGAAGGGTCGTTGGACCGCCAAACGGGTCGCGACCCACAGGTTGAGAACCGCTGCCCTAGCCCTACACAAAATTCACAATCCATCCCCTACCCCCTGTTTAAACCATTGTCTATAGCACATTAGAGACAGAAAGAAAAAAAAAAGACTTACAAAGCATGGTTTCTAGTAATGACAGGGTATAGGTAATAGCAGCAGCGAAGAGGGATAACATTTCTTGGGTTGGAATGGAAGACATGCTTTATTTCAAAGAGCAGTCATAGTATAAACTGTCATTTAAAGCGAAGTGGTGGGGAAGGAATTAAAACAAAGCGAACCTAGTATGTGCCAAATGCTCTATGTACGATCATCTCTACTTCTCACAGCAGCCTGTAAGGTACGTATGTGATTATTCCCACCTGACAGATGAGTAAATGGACTTAGAGAGACTAAGTTAACTTTTCCAAGGAACTAAACCTATCTGTCACTTATGAGCCAGGATTTGAACCCCAAGCTCTGCTCTGTCTGACTTCAAAGTTTACCCCATTACCCCCATATCACACAACCGCAGGTAGTGATTGTTGTTCTTGTATCATGTATGTTCTCCAAGAGCTGAAAGTGTTGCTAAAGAGCTCACCCAAGGGAAAACAGAGTGAGTCATGTGGAAGGGAAGTGTATTAGTTAAGGAAATACTTGCTGTTATAACAGATAAAGCAGATAGTGTCTTAACACAATAGGAGTTTATTTCTCACTCCTATGAAGTCCTGCCAGAGGTGGTGAGGGTGTGGTGGAGAGGGTGGGGTGGGAGGTTCAGCAACAAGACTGCCATCTTTCATCTTTGTTTTTCCATCACCATGTATTCTACCTATTCCCCTCCACCTCACCCACCCCTCTCCCCACCACAATCACCACACTGTGGTCAGTGTCCATGAGTTCTTTCTCTCTTTTTCTCTTTTTTGCTCAATCCCTCTACCACCCCTGACACCTGCCCCCACCTGAGTTGTCTGCCTGCTCTCTATGAGTCTGCCTCTATTGTGCTTGTTAGTTTATAATGGGGTAGGCCTGGAAATGGAATATATCATTTCTGCCCACATCCCATTGGCCCAAACTCAGGCCTACAGCACCGCCCCATTGCAAAGCACGGCTGGGAAATTGGCTGTGTGCAGAGGGGAAAGGGAAAGTGGGTTTGGTGGGCAGCCAAACAGTCTCAGCCACAGGTACGAGCATTTGGGACGAACAAATCCCAGAGGAAAAGTGACTTAGAGTGACTGATGTGAATACAGTCTGACCTTTGGGTGTCTGGTTGTTTTTAATAAATTATCTTTTGGAATAACGATAAATGCCTTGGCCGTTCCTCAAACCCTTTGCTGTTTGCAGCAGATGATGGATGTTTAGAACACACCCCCGACACAGCGGAGTTCAGTCGAGAATTCCAGTTGCACCAGCACCTGTATGATCCCGAACATGACTACCCAGGCTTGGGCAAGTGGGTAAGTCCAATCTTAGTTACTAGTGGGTTTATACTCTGCTGCTCTGAAGATACCGATGGGAGAGGTGAGCAACATAGGTGGGGAGAGAGAAGAAAAATTGTTTAGTGGCTGATTTTTTAGAAATCTCTGGTTGAGAGGGACTTTAAGTAGTTCTAGTCCAAACCACACTCTAGGCCACAATATTCTAGCCAATCTGAAGAGTTGATGACCTGAACCCATCTTATTAGCTATAGGCTGCAGAGGCTTCCACTGCGGTCCACCCCATACATCCTAAAGTATCACCACTGTTTCATGCAGCTCTTATAGGAAATATATGATTGTTTTTAAAAAAGGATACTGAGAAAATTTGCGAATTTTATCTCTAGAGTAGGGTAACGACCTCTACAGAACTAAGGAAAAACGATGCCAGAAGCTTAGAAACAGATGTATGTAATTCTGAGTTAAGGAAAGAAAAAAAAAAGTGCAGCCGTGAGCTTGCTGTCAATACCAGGCAAGGATCTATAATTGCCAGTTAAGGAAATTGTTTATAAGCACTTGGAAAGAGAAAGCACGACCATTTGGCACAGGTTTGCTAAAAACAAGTTTTGTCAAACTAATTGTATTCTACTTGCCAGCATTAGTCACTGACTTGCCAGCTCGATGAGGGAAATGAAGTGAGCGTGGTGCACTTGGACTTCAGCAAAGTATTTGATGAGATCGTTCATGAAGTCCTATTGGGAGCAGTGGGGAGACATAGCCCAGGCAAGAGAACGTCCCCAAAAGGGAGCTTGTTAAAGGGTCCACGTCAACAGGGAGAGAGATTTCACATGGCATCCTGCATGTCCACATTTTAATAGATGTTTCTAATTTAAAAAATATAGAAGGTGTAATTATCAGATTCTCAAAGGATGACACAAAGTTGGAAGGGCTTGCACGAAGTGACATTTGGGATTCAAGATGGTGAAGGCAGGCTGGGACAATGGGCCAAAGGAGATCCCAGTTGAATGGGGATATATTTGTGTCCCTGTGGTTGGGCCCATGTAGTTGGATGCTGAAGCCATGTGAGAAAAGTGGAAAAATACTAGGGAGTGTTAGTTCACATGTCAGTAGGTAGTCAATACATCTGTGGAATGAGTGAATGAGCAGCTATTCCTAACTTCCTAAGCCCTTCTAAAGCTATCAATCCCTTCTCAGCTCATTACTGGCAGCTGACCTTGCTTCGACTTTACTAGGAATTTTGTAGTCTCAGGACTAAACGCTCTCCCTTCCTTTTACACGGTTTTAGAGGAAGATGTCCCTGCTTGTTAACCGTTTTCATCATCTTGCTTTAACATTGCACTGAGTTGATTCAACATGCAACCTTCAAATGCACACATTTCCTGTCTTAAAACAACAAATCAATAACACCTCCTAAGTTGATCTTGCTTCTTGCAATATGCATCATTTTATTTCTCTTCTTTTTCATAAGCAGTTCTGTTAGGGAGACTTGGCATGGGGAGCCATGCTGCAGCCTACTAGAAGAGTTTGAATATGTTGAATTAAATTGGCAAACATCTATAGGTTCTTAAATAGGAGACTGGAATCATGAAAAGCTTCTATAAAGGAACTTATTCTGGTGGCAGAAGGTATGAAAGCTAGGAAAAAAGGAAGTCATTCCAGCTCTGAAAGCTGTGAATTCAAGTGAAAGTCACCAACATGATGAGGCTCTACAACATTTCCAAGGGGGCTGGCAACCTAACATCGGTATGTGGCATAAATACTAGTGTAGCATGAGGAGGAAAGATGAGATAGGTCAGGCTTATATGAAGTGGATGGTATGAACTTTCCCTCTGAGGGAATCTTAAAAAGAAAGGAGGAAAGAAAAGAGGGAGGTGGGAAGGGAAGAAGGGAGCAGAGAGAGGGAAGGAGAGAGTAGAAGATCACAGAGAATCACAGAGGAATCACAAGAGATGGGCAAAAGTATTGCCAAACAGAAGCCAGGGCAGGTTCAACAAAGATTAATTGGGAGATATTACGCTTGCTTCATTCCAGGCACTGTGCTAGGTGCTCAATATGCAATAGTCATCAAGACATGGTATTGGTCTTCATAGAGCTTATAGTCTTCTGGTTGAGAAGAACTGCATGAAAATAAAATGAACACAACCTAGCATTGTTCAGACACTATGTTTAATATTTTTACTGAATTACCTCATTCAGTAAAATGCTCTGGTTCTGCCATGAGCACCGGGTACAGTTACTAGGAAAGATGGAAGATAAGGGTAGAGGAAGATCCGGGACTGAGGACTCATGGCCAATTGTATAACACCCATTGAGGAAGTCAACGTTGCTAAAAAGGGTGGCATGGAGGTGTAAGGTGAGAAGGTAGCCTGCATAACTGGCAGGCTGGAAAAGAGAAAAAGGAAGCAAGGGGGAGACTGAGAGAAGTCTGACTGAGGGCAGAGATCCCAACTGGGGAAGCGGGAGAAATGGAAACTTCTCTCTTGCCAACTTTCCTTGCCTCTTCTTAAAAACCTTTAGAGTTCTCTCACCAAGTTCCACTCACTCTCAGTGCTCCAGTAAGAGGCCAACCACCACCCTTCATCCTCTTTGCATCCTTCTCTAAATACCAATTTGTTTTCTCAGTCATTCCTAGTCTTTGTGTGCATCGGAGCTCAAACAAACAAGTTAGTACTAAATGAAAAGGGAAGTACTATTACAGATCAATGACCAAGGAGCAATGTTTATAAACCTTTTATCAGCTATAATTATGTGTTTGTTTAAACTTAAGTTTTCCTCATTTAATTTCTCATTACCACCTAGCAGTAAAATATGGTTTGTTTGATCTTCACATGGAAGTGTGAATTGAGTATGTCTTGCTTTTCTAAACTGGGGTCTACAAGCCTTCGTAGTGTATATATAGAATGATGGCCTCAAGCTTGTCTTAAGCTCAACAATCCTTCAAGTTAACAAAATAATTATCTTTTACATGAAACTGCATGCAAGACCTGATTCCTTATTTGCTAATAATGTTTCTCTGTTTTTGACATTAGCTGGAGCCGAACTGGGTCTTTAGCAGTGATTCACATATAAATATAAGTGTCTGTCTTGTTTCCTGCATTTTTATCTTTGTTAATGCATCCAGACACATTTATGAAATGTACATCATATGCCTTCCAGGCCTGTGTTAGGTGATTGGAATACAAAGATGAATGGTAATTGTCTTTTGTAATACACAAATAGATAGTAATATTTATTGAGCACATATTATATACCAGACACTATATTAAATATTTTACTGAATTATCTCATTCAAGCTGCCCATTCCTATTACTCTCATTTTACAGATGAGAAAATACAGGCTTAGGGAATTTGAATAGGCTGCCTAATACCACAGAGCTGATGATTGGCAGAGCTGGGATTTGAACCAAACTGACTCCAGGAGTTCTTTAAAAATTGGATAAGTCCTTTACCTTTTCCATGGCTCAGAATGTGTCCTGTACATGATCCTATCAAGTCCTATCTAGGACTGGTTGCCTTTCAGACAGTGAGTGTACCCACAACATTGAGTGGCTGTGACCAAAGGCAGGCTGCTATAGATGCCAGTCACTCCCCTTCTTCACACATTAATCACAAAGTGTTACTCAGGAAAATGTTGTCTTGACAGCAAATATTTTTCCTGTCCGAGTGCTTGTCACATCTTTTCATTGGCAGCATGGACAACTAGGGGCTCTTCCTTGCACGGAAGCAGCTGATCATGGTCAGAGCCTGAGCCGAGGGAGAAATGAGAGGCCAGGACCCTCTTTGCCTTTCATAACCTCAGCAATGTCTGAAGAATTGAATGTTCTTCAGCTGGTGTTCGTCGCATTTCCCATGTGATCAGACGAGTTATGCCTTTCTATTTTAGTGTTTTATGCCAAGAAGCACGTGATGCCCGTTAGTCTCACCTGGTTAACGTAGTGTCTGCCAGCTTTCTCCCTTGTAAAATCACCAGTTTCCCTTTTGAAATTAATAATTGACCTGTGGAAGGATACTTTGGGATTGTGTAAATATGCTGTCTCCATTAAACTTTTAACCAACAATTTTAGTACCCATTGATGACCCTCACCAGAATCAGTGAAAACTATGGTCATTTTAATGGCAATTTTCTTACTCTGTTATTTTTATGCATTTATTGGTTGGCATTCTAGTCTAAGCAAGGGTTTTCCTTGCTTTGTTTATTTACTTAAAATTGTGTGTATTTAATATCAATATTAAATATTTGATGCTCGTTATTTACTTTGGTGTACAGACTGTTCTGGATGCAGCCAGTGGGAGTCTCTGTGTGCTGGTTTTTCTTTCTTCTGACATGTCCCATCATTGTTTTTGAGCATTTCCTAACTTTCTGGCCCAATTAGATATTCCAAATTCATTCATCCTTGTGCTTTCCCTGCCCTACCCCTGGAAACAGACATTCCATCAAGAAGCCTCCCTGGTTCCATTTAGGAATGGAATTTGAAACCAACATCTGGGCAGTTGCCCAAAATCTTGATAGCACAATGGAAAGCCCTCTTTATGAACTCGAACTTGCTACTCACATGGGAAGCAGGCTC